AGCAGACAACCTTGCGCTTAAATTTTAACCGTGAGGTAAACAGTGTGTTTTGTGGTTGACACTGTTTTTCTTCAAGAAAATTGTAACTGACACAACTTGTTTTTTAAGGCCTTTTTTGCCCCTGACCGGTCTCAGTTTAGCTGAACTAGTAAAGAATGTCTGCCTTGAGCATTATGCTCTCTTAAGATCTATCTGTCTGGGATTAGATTGATGACAGCAACTCAAAAGATTAGATGGGAAACTTGGGGGGCAGTGAGCTTATCCTGATGGGAGAGGAACAGTTCAGAAAGGAAGGTAAGAATGGTTGCACAACTTGAAAAATGAAATCAGTGTCACCAAATTGTTCGTGTAAAAATTACTAAATTGGTGTATGTTCTGAACAACAAAAATAAAACAAGTTATTTAAGAAAAGTTGTCAATAGGGTTGATCTGGAGTGAGTTGCTAGATAGATTAAAGACTGAAATGTTGTAATTAGATAGTGGAAAATAATTTCCAGTTCAAAATTCTTGAGGTATTTCAGAGTTACAAGTGAAGTCTCAAGATGTGGCCAGTTAAGGTAAGGGGTTATGACCTTTAGAAAAAGAGAGAAGATGTAGGTACTTTTTAGTAGTACAGGATTTCAGAGGGCTCAGTGAGAGGGTCCCTTGGAGCCTAGCAAGAGAAAGATGGGGCTGCAGCTTTAGGAAGAGACAGCTGGCTTGCTGTGGGTAGGAAGAGGAAGGTAGACATGGATACCTGCAGAGCTAGTAACTGCTTCTACAAGGAACCTGCCCTTCCTTAGTTCAGTTAAGAGTCAGGTGGAACTGGGCTGACTGACAGCTCTGGGAACCGTACCTTTCCTCCCCTTTCTCAAAATTATCATGATTTGCTTTTCCTGGGGATTTTTTTTAAAATATGTGTACGGTAGTAATAGGTAATTGCTTTTCCTGACTATGTGATTATAAATTTACACTTCAGTCTTTGCTTACACTACTTATTAAACACAATATGATAATGGTAGAGGTGACCATGTGCCTTGTAAGCTGATTTTCTATAGAGAAATTAAAACTGACGTGTGAAAACGGTTTTTAAAGGGCCGAAGAATAAACCTCGTTCTTTGTACGCCACTGCGAAAGGACAAAACCAGAATGAGGTTCTAAGATTCTGGAATGAGATGAGCTTTCTGATTGCCAAGTTATGAAGCTGTGGTTTCTTGTTTGTCATTTCCTTTTAGAAGGGCAATGCCAGCTAGACCTGTGTACTGTGAGTGACTCAGGCTGTTTACACACTGGCAAGTGAAGCCAGTTATCCTCAGATCTTATTTGCAGTAACGGCAAAGAATAGGGCATGCGGAATCCAAAAAGTGCCAGGACAACTAAGAATTTGTTATTACATGCGTTTGAATATATGTGTGTTCACAGAATATAGTCATTTCAACAGCATCATAAAGCCGCATTGCCAAGACGTGAGTCAGTAAAAACTAGAAATTCATGCTTTGAATCATTGTGTCACTCTTCAGTGGGCAGCTCTATCAGGCACAATTCCATGCTGGAAATGGCATGAACTCTCACCCTAGTCCAACAGTAACCTAAACAGAGCTGTGTTTTCTCTCTCAGATTGCTATCTTTCTGACTCATACTTCATAAGGATCCATAGTTATGAATGTTGTGGATCAAGACTTTTTCCCTGCTGGACTGGAGTTGCACATAGAAATAAAGTGATTAGAGATTAAGAAAAATGTCAAAAAATGGATTTTAACAGTAGATGATATTACCAAGAAGAATGAAAATAATCTTTTATAAAGACCAACCATAATTCAGATAATCCACCTATTGATAGTAGAGAGTTGATACTCTGTTCCAAAATTTTCAGAAAATGTATCACAGCATTTGTATGAATAAAGAGTTATTTGTTGAAGTTGATGAAAATTGGAAGCTTTGTAAATATCAGCTAAACCAAAAAATTTCTATTTACTCTAACCCAGGGGGATTTGTGAAAGCTTTTCCCATCTTTTTCAAGGACCACCCCAATCTGTACTCCCAGGGAGATGGATTCATTATGTAAGTCGTGAGTTGCCAGACATTTATTGGGTTAAATAAAATGAAAAGTTGCACATATGTGTTTGTATATATCGGCATGTATGTATACACATGTGTTTATATATTCATTCACACCCATGTGCGTACCACTACTTGTTGAGTACTTTTCATGAAGCATGAGTCCAGACAGAGGGGATAAAAGCAGAATGGCCAGTGATAGATAAGAAGTGTGTAGGGGTGAAGGATCTGGTTTCCTGGGACTCATAGTTTTTTGGAAGGAGGTGGACACCGATTCTCAAGCAGAACTCACCAGGTCTCCAGGTGCAGTTACCTGAAGAGTTCATCTAAGCAGGGAATCAAGGAGTGGTGCCCAGCATGTTTGCATGCCTCCCTCCCTTGTTTCAAAAGCCAAGCTCAAGTGTCATCTCCATTCTGAGATGTGGGAAGACTTAGAGTTAAAGAAAATAATGCAAAAAAGTTGTATAAAGAAGGAAAGGTAGGCAAGAGTGTCACTTGGCTCAGTTGTGTGCAATATTTGCATACTCATAGTAAGTAAAACAAAATATGGATTTTAGGGGGAAAATGAGAATAAAGGAGAAGTATCAGGGGAAGATGGAGTGGGGGAAGTAGGATGTGTAAGTGAGCTTACACATAATAGGAATATTATACCATAATAGGAAGTCAGTAGATAATGTCTAACACTGATGAATCAAGTGGTAATATTTAAAATACAGAAGGAAGAAACAGTTAAGAGTTGACAGTGTGAGAATAGCAGCACAACTGGAAGAATGTGATCGATGTCACTGAATTGTACATGTAGAAACTTTTGAAATGGTGTAACTTTGGCTGTGTATATTTTCACCATAAAAAAAAAAGGTCCTCCAAAGTTGAGAAGGGAGAGTGTTGACATGTCATGGGGTTGTTAACCAATGTCATAAAACAATAGGTGTACTGACTGTTTAATGAGAAACTATTTGTTCTGTAAACCTTCATCTAAAGTACAATAAAAAAAATTTTTTTAAAAAGAGTTGACAGTGTGACTAGATGAGGGGAAAAGTGACAAAGGACTATTTTGTATAAAACTTTGGGCAGTTAATTTATATTTGCATATAATGCTGTGATAAAGTTTCAAAACTAATTTTTAAAAGAAGCCTCTTCTGTACCTCTCCAGCCTCCCACCATGAGCCCCTCTGTATCACCATGTTTAGTACATGTCCACCTTCCTTACAAGACTGGACCAAAAAACCAAACCAAACCCCTCGCCGTCAAGTCGACTCACAGGGAGCGACCTATAGGACAGAGCAGAACTGCCCCATATGGTTTCTGAGGAGCCACTGGTGGATTTGAACTGCCAACCTTTTGGTTAGGGGCCGAGCTCTTAACCACTGCACCACCAGGGCTCCTACTGGACTAGAAGGGCTGTCTTATTCATCTGTCTCCCTAGAGCCAAGCCCAGTGTCTCCCACCTGTTAACTGCCTCACACCTGTGGGAAAGAGTGGATGAATGGAGTACTAATGTGATACATCAGCTGTCACTTCACGCTTAGATGACTGACAGCAACTGAAGTAGTTTTTCTTTGCCTCAGTCTGTCTCTACTCTGCCTCAGCCTTCCCACCACTGCCCCCTCTACCACCCCAGAACATTCTACCCTGCATCAGGGTCAGTCCAGACTTCCCAGTACTCTGCTTTGGTCACATTCTTCTTTCAAGAACCACAGCAATGCTTTACCCTCTCCATTCTGAGGTCCTCTGCCTGACCCTCCAGCCCCTGCATTGGCTGTCCCCACGGGCCCATTCCACATCACTTCCCACTCCTGTCCTCGCTCACCAGCCCCTCTGGTCAAGCCAATCTCGTTATTATATCCCACTCAGTCCCGCCTCCTACCTTCGTTTATGCCAGACTCCTTTCCCCTCAAAAGACCAGAGCATCTTCATGGCCTGGGAATGTAATTGTACTGTTGTGACATCTACAAAGAAAATAATCTTCAAGTGTTTAATCAATAACTCATTGTTATCTTTTTACCTGTCTACCAGGGAAGCAACCTCAGGTTCTCCTCCATATTAAAACCCACATTCCTAAATAGAAAATGTCTGCCTTAAAGGAAATTATAATGTCCTTTTTTTTTTCTTTCTTTTTATCAAGTGAATACATCTTTCAATTTTGATCGATTAATAAAATGGGCATTATGTAAACTGTGCTTCTAAACAAATGAGCTTGATATTTTAAAAGAAGCCTAGATGGTTTTAAATACTATATACTTTTAATTTCAAAAATTCCTTTCCTACTTTTGTTCTGCAGTCATAAATATGCCTTAATTTTTTGCTAAATGATTATTTTTTCCTTTTCTTTAACTTAGACCATTTAGAGAATTCATTTGATGAAGTACTGAGGTGCCTAATTGTTTAATGGGTAGAAATTAGTCCCTACAAGAGTGCTTTAAAAACTGGCAAGTATCAGGCATAATTACAGATTCTCTAGAAGAATCTATTTCTGTACAATAGGTTAATTGGTTATAAGTAGACAGCACTGGCAGTAGTTTAAACCCAGCTTCTAATTTTATCCATGCTTTTTATTTTTTTTAACAAATAAAAGTGGCTAATTGTGATCAAATTAGTCCCCTCGAAGGAACAATAGTCTGCTTATCCTGATTTTGAAGATTTAAGTGATCTAACGCACCTGTAATTAGCTTCCTACCGCATACAGCCTGCAGATCATCATAGCCATGTCTCATGATGGTAACTTTGCAGTGAGGTGAGCAATGTATAGTTTAGACTATGATGATTTCCTTGGGAGAATCAAGGCAATTTTTAAGATTATTCAAACTAAAACAGAGATTTGTATAAAGGGGAAGGTTGATTTGGGGTTGGCTGAGCCAGATAATTGTGTCTACTCCCTGGACTTTCTACATATAGTGTAGATGGCTTGTTCATTTATGTGATTATGGAAAATACTTACTCTTCTTTGCTGCTCTTTATTTTAGTGGTGCAATCTTTGCATTGACTTGGTAGCGTTCACTGGTGAAATATTCAAGGGAGCAGTTTTCCAGTCATTGGATGGAATTATTGTCTCGGCTAACTGTAAGCTACGGAAGATCTTCACTTTAAAATCAAAGCCGCAAGATACTACCGATAAAGATGGTATGTTCAAGCTTCTGTCAAGATTTTTTAATTTTTTGATGTGCTTTTAAAGTTAGCCATGCCTTTGGATAGTATGAGTACATGATAGCAGTTTGATTTTGTGTCTACTAAATTAAATTTGTCCACAATCATGTTGACTTCTTTTTTCCGGGCCATGTGTTTATTTTTCCTGTAGCTGAATGTCACAAAAGTGTATTCAGTTTTTGCTTTCTGTGGTTGTTTTCTTTCTCGTTTATGACAGCACTTGCCATCTGAAGTTCTCAGGATTCTTCGTTGCAAACAACAGAATCCTCTTTAGGTGGTTGAAAGAGAAAAGGAATTTATTTAAGGAAATGAGCCAGTCCATAGAATGTCAAGGAGATCCAGAGAGTAAGGCTTGGAAGCTACAGCCAAGAATAAATCCAGCCCCCATCACAGGACTGCTCCATGGTAGACACCTCCCTTCCCATCGCTGCTACCACTGGGCAAACCAATAAAACCAAACCCGTTGCTGTCGAGTCAGTTCCGACCCATTGCGACCCTATAGGACAGAGTAGAACTGCCTCATAAGGTTTCCAAAGAGCGGCTGGTGGACTTGAACTGCCAACCTTTTGGTTAGTGGCTGAGCTCATAACCACTGCACCACCAGCGCTCCTAGGAGAGACTCCAAAAATCATACCATACTGCTGGGTTCTAGGTTCCAGAATTTCTATTACTACTGCTCCTGAAACCAGGTGTCTCTCCTGCCACCCTCATCAGAAATGGGTTCCTTCTTCGTGTTTCTCTGTACTGAACAAAGTCTGACAGGCTGTGTCTGATTGGCAGAACCTGCGTCATATGATGCAAGGAAGGCTGGGTAAGCAGGGAGGCAGGACTCATTGTGTGGGAAATTCACCAAATTAGAAAGGGTGTTCAAAAGATGTTGGGCAACCAAAAACCTCTGTAGATGTCTACTGCCTTATCATTCTGTGTATATTTCATAAAGTTGTTTGGGAGGAGTCATATTAATTTTCTAATGATTACATTAAAATAGAAAAGAGAGCTGAGGTATCCCTTATATTATTTCTAGAGAGACTGGAAATAGGTACATTAATTATTCATAATATGATTAATGAATATACTCTGCAGGTAACTCAGCTATCTAGAATCCAAAAGACATCACAGACTCTCCCGCCAAGATGGTTTTAAACCACCAAGAGTACTGAGAGAATACTGATGCTTACCTTTGATTTTCGCATGGGATTATTTTAACAAAATCACTTTTTCTAGAAGCTTAGGAAGCAGGGCTACACATAAGATGGCAAAGGTGATTTCATAGAAGTTTGTATCTGGACTTTAGACTTAAGCTTCACCTGGACGAGTGTCAGAGAAATCCGTGTGGGACTCACTCTGTGGAACAGAACACTGCCTGTAAATTTCATTTGGTAATAAAACACAGGAGTGCATTGACAGCTCCCCCAAGAGATCACAAACCAGCAAGTGTGGCTGCCCATCTTATGTACCACTTAAAGGCTGTATGAGAAAGTGAAAGCTTTCGTTTGTAAAAAATAGCCCCAGCTAATAAGAAACCTCAAAATTCATAGAAATATATGTGCATTCTATGTCACATCACAGGAGGTGAATCATAACCTGGTTAGTATTTAAAAATAAATGTAAGGAAAAGGGTGGATCAAACATTGGCAGATTGAATACACATTTATCTCTGCTCCCTCCTCAAACCTCACTAAAATTATAATATAGGGATAAAAAAGACATAAACCCACCAGGATAAAGAGTGTCGGAGCGGAGGCAACAACAGACAGATGTTCATAAATTTTTGTAGGATTGAAGAGTGACAGCTGACTTAGAAGAACAGAGAAAGCTGAAGCCCTTGTGCTTGCCAATCAGAGTCACAGCACAGAACCCCGCAGAGGCTCGAGAATTGGCAGGCCTAGGTACTGCGAAAAGCAGCAGTAAGGGGTAAGGCTAAAAACAAGGGAATTGATTAAAAATTCTGTGCAGCTTGCTATAGGACACCAGATACCCCTCTCCAACTCTATACAACCAGGCAGCAGGAGATTTATTCCCTGGAGAAACTGAACTAGAGAGCCTCTGAAATCAAGAACATTGGGTACATGATAGACAGACACCAAAACAAAAGGAAGAAGGAAGCCAGAGGAAGCATCCGGTAGGGAATATGTGATTTATTTCAGAGTTAAGGAAAGATACTGTATCTATGAAATGAGAATAAGAGAGGTGTCTTGTTCTTGCTTAAATTCAACAAACATTTTTTTGAATTTGTTATATTTACTATAAATTTTATTATATTCTGAAATTTTTGCATTAGGCAAATCTGCTGCAAAAGACCTCTTTAAAGTGTTGAAAAGCAAAGATGTCACTTTAAGGACTAAGGTGCACCTGACCCAAGCCATGGTGTTTTCAGTCATCTCATATGCATATGAAAGTTGGACAATGAATAAGGAGACCGAAGAAGAATTGTTGCCTTTGAACTGTAGTGTAGGAGAAGAATATTGAATATACCATGGACTGCCAAAAGAACCAACAAATCTGTCTTGGAAGAAGTATGACCAGAACGCTCCTTAGAAGCAAGGATGGCGAGACTACGTCTCACGTACTTTGGACATGTAATCAGGAGGGATCAGTCCCTGGAGAAGGACATCATGCTTGGTGAAGTAGAGGGTCAGCGAAAAAGAGGAAGACCCTCAATGAAATGGACTGACACAGTGGCTGCAATAATGGGCTCAAGCATAACAATTGTGAGGATGGCACAGGACCAGGCAGTGTTTCATAGGGTCACTATGAGTCAGAACTGACTTGATGGCACCTAACAGCAACAACGAGATTTTTATTACATATAGAAACATGCACAAGTGATCAGTGTGCAGCTTGAGGAATTACCATAAAGTGAACACACTTCTGTAGCTACCACCCAGATCAAGAAACAGAACTTTACGAGCATCCTAGAAGGCCCGCTCATGTCCCCTCCGAGTCACCGCCCTCTCCTCCTGAGAGGTAACCTCTGTCCTGACTTATAACCCCAGAGATTAATTTCATCTGTTTTTGAACTTTATGTCAGTGGAATTACATAGTACATATTATTTCATGTGTGCATTCTTTCGCAAAATATTGTTTTGTGAGATTCATCTATATGGTTGTACATAACAGTAGTTTGCTTATTTTCATTATGCTATAGTAGGCCATTGTATGACTATACCACAATATATTTATCCATTTTAGGCTACTATGAATAATGCTACTTGAAC